AAAAAAAAAAAAAAATTACATTAGTCGGTTTAATGAGAAAAATTTAAAAAATAAATACCTTTTGAATCTGTGACCGCAAAAGACCCGTGTATCACATTTTGCATTCCAAAAAGACACTACTATCGTTTCCTACTTTCCGAAAAGAATTACGAGTATTGCACTTATTATAGCGAAGCACAATGATGATGATGTTGATGAATCCTCTGGAGGAACTCGAAAACCAGAAATAATATTATTTTACAACTTAAGAAAAGGTATAGTAAATGCAGTTGATGAAATGAGTGCCTTTTATTCTACAGCTGGGAATATCAAGAATAGTTATCTCTCTCTCAAATATCAAGAATGGAATTCTATAGCTTGAATATCTTTACGATAATAAATGTAGTTTCAATAAAGTGAAGAATAGTTATGTCCATCAAAGATCCACGGTTAAAGTTCAGAATCAGAAGACATTTACAAAAGTCATTAGGACTTTAGCTTTTGAAAGACTACATTGAAAAAAGATGCAAAATACCTATGCTTTCTAAAAATTTGAAAGAAAAATTATCAACTGGCCAATTGCGATGAGCCACACATGAAGCTAGCTAAAACCTGCAGTAAACGGTGTTCAGACTGTCCCAACAAAAAAGACCGAAAACTTAGATATTACTGCCGTTTATGTAACAGTCACATATGTATGGAGCATATGTCTTTAATTTGTAAAAAGTGTGAAATTTCCACTAATAAGTAAAATTTATTTAAATTAAATTTTATTTTTAATACTTGTTTTTACTTCATAATGCATATTATTTCGTGCAAATCATCAATATATTTATGTTTAAGGTATTTTAAAAGCCAAAAGTGTGCTGGGGCCCTGCTCTTTTCGGTTTAAGTTTTACCGTCCCTTCTCGTATTCCTGCCCGAAAGCTTATCATATTCGATTAATTTTTATGACTTTGATCATTGGCCCATAATCGGTCACTTAAGGGATGTTCAATTATACATAACTTTCTCCATATCATTAAGTATTTTATGAAATATTCATTACATACAAGATATATATTCTATAGAACATCTACAAATTTTTAGGATTGAATTCTTACTGCATATCACCTAGTATTTTATGAAGTATTCATTACATACAAAATATATATTCTATAGTACATCTACAAATTTTTAGGATTGAATTCTTACTGCATATCACCAAGTATTTTATGAAGCATTCATTACATACAGTATATATTCTATAGCACCTATACAAATTTTTAGGATCGAATTCTTAAAAAATTTAGATTTGAAGAATATAACTTAATCATTATTTAACCTTCTACGTATTGTTACGAAATGTCAAGGCGGTGAGATGGCTTTCCCGCAAAGCAGTTTTAGGGATGCCATAAAATGGCAAGGGAAGGCAGGGTTCCCATATTTGAAGAATAGTTATGTCCATCAAAGATCCACGGTTAAAGTTCAGAATCAGAAGAACTTTTGGTGAGAAATCGCCCATATGGCAACAAAATACCATGGACGGTTGGAGAACCTTCTGGAACGAATTCTTACCGATTTAGCCCAGAATGTTCTCGAACACAAGCCGAAAGCTATATAAACCCTGCTGGTCCGCAGTCAGTGTGTGTGTCTCGTCTAGCGAGTCAATCCCTGCGGAGTCGATCGAGTTGACAGCCGGGCAGTGAGTGCCGAGTGGGTCGTCGAGCGCACCGAAGAAGTCTGTTAGTGTATCGCGGTTAGTGCATCGTCGAGACAGCGTGTTGAGCTCCGGGAACGACTGAACCGAAGAGTCAGGAGCTGTGCTCGTGTGTCGTCGAGTGCATCGCGAGTTGTAGCGTGGAGAGTCTCGAGAGTACGTGGAGTTCCGAGAACGACCAAGCAGAGTCGGGAGCTGTACTCCGAAAAGAAGTGTCGAGTGCTTTGCAGGAAGCTTGTCTTCACCGTTATTGCCTGGCAGTGTGAAGGCTGTGTCGCTGATTGTTCCAGCGTGTTTGTAGTAGTTAACCGACGTCTGTAAAACGTGTTTTGGAGCTGTCCTGACAATACTGACTAATAAAGTGTGTTTCGATACTTCATCAAGTGTCGTCGTTATTCACTCCAATTCTACGAACCCCGTACGAACGTGAAGGAAGAAAAGAAAAACGTAACAACTGGTGTCAAAAGTGGGATAAATACACAACAACTGGTGTCAGGAGTGGGGTAAAAACGCAACAATTGGTGTCAGAAGTGGGATTTGCGAGTGAATGCCAGTGACCCGCCTGCAGAAGAAAGCCATGGCGGAAGAAATGAAGACTTCGATGGACCTTTTAGCCGAGTTGAAAGCCCGACAGGAAGAGATGAAAGATGAGATAAAAGCCGGATGTGCTGAGATAAAAGCCGAATATGATGAGATAAAAGTTGGATATGAAGAGAAAAAAGCTGGATATGGAGAGATGACAGCTGAGATCAATGCCGGACTGAAAGAGATGAAAGCCGGACTGGAAGATAAGAAAGCCCAGCGGGAAGAAATAAATGTCCGCCAAGAAAAGTGCGAGAGCGACTCCAACCGCTGAAAGTGGAGCTTGCAGAAGAAACTGGAGCCATAAAAGAAGATGTGAAAATGACAGTAGTGGCATCTAGAGAATCCAAGGATGAAGAAATGAAAGAAGTAGCTAACGAACTGCCTGAGAAAGATCCAGAAATAATCGATGAAATATCTAACGGGATTAAAGAAAAAGAACGAAAACATGAAGAAATAAAAGACGGGAAGGAAGATTTTGATTCTCACGTGCCTGAAGTAGAGATAGAAGAAAGTAAAAATGCGACTGTCAAGTTCCTAGAAACTGATAGTGAAGTTATGAAAACGCACTCAGCAAGTCTCGAACCATCTGAAAGTGCATGTGATGCAGAGATGGGAGAAGCTGATGTACAGCTTAATCAGTGTACTCCAGTATTGCAAGAAAATTCACTCACCTCGCAAATTATGTGTGCGTCTCATAGTGCTGATTGTGCGGACAAGGACTTGATTCTAAACCTGGATACTTGTGTTTGCGAAGAATCGGGCTCCGTTCATGACTCTGATGCAAAATTTGGAGCTGGTTCCCAGGAAACGGAGGAAACCGAGTATGTACCAGCTGCTGAAAATACCGATGTGAACTGTATACATGATGCGAAAAAACTTCAGAGTGGTGAACAAACTGTTTCAGATCTTTCTGAGGATGGAAAGTCTCAAAGAACTGAATCTTCAGACTGTGATATGCAAAACAGAAATATATCTGAGAACTGCAGTGGAAAAGTATTTGACCCAGGTATATTTTAGTGAATAAACTAAGACTGAAATTCATTTTTAACTTTAATGTATATAATTTAAAATTGTTATGTGTTTAGTTTGTGTATGTAAATTGTACATAGTGTAAATATTTGTTTTTTAGTTATGTTATTTATTTATACCTTATGTTTGTTTCATAAAGTTTTGTTTGCATCGAATTATGCTTCTGACCAAGGGTCAGGGTTGCCATGAAATGCAGGGTTGCCACATTTGGCGAGAAATCGTCCATTTGCTGTCATTTGGCGACAAAATACCATGGACGGTTCGAGAACCTTCTGGAACGAATTCTTACCGGTTTAGCCCAGAATGTTCTCGAACACAAGCCGAAAGCTATATAAACCCTGCTGGTCCGCAGTCAGTGTGTGTGTCTCTCATCGACAGAGAGTGTGTCTCGTCTAGCGAGTCAAACCCTGCGGAGTCGATCGATTTGACAGCCGGCCAGCGAGTGCCGAGTGGGTCGTCGAGTGAACCGAAGGAGTCTGGCAGTGTATCGTGGTTAGTGCATCGTCGAGAGAGCGTGTTGAGCTCCGGAAACGACTGAACCGAAGAGTCGGGAGCTGTACTCGTGTGTCGTCGAGTGCATCGCGGGTTGTAGCTTGGAGAGTCACAAGAGGACGTGTAGTTCCGAGAACGACCAAGCAGAGTTGGGAGCTGTACTCCGGAAAGCAAAGTCGGGTGCTTTGCAGGAAGCTTGTCTCCACCGTTATTGCCTGACAGTGTGAAAGCTGTGTCGCTGATTGTTCCAGCGTGTTTGTAGTAGTTCATCGACAACTGTAAAACGTGTTTTTGAGCTGTCCCACAATACTGACTAATAAAGTGTGTTTCGATACTTCATCAAGTGTCGTCGTTATTCACTCCAAATCTACGAACCCCGTACGAACGTGAAGGAAGAAAATAACGCAACAACTGGTGTCAGCAGGAAGAGAAAAACGTAACAGTATTTTTCTCTTAATGCTGTGTATATTTTATTACGCCCACAGAGCTTGTGGAAGCCTTGCTAGAAATGGATTCTTGGAAGTTTTCCATGCCATTTGGTTATGTACTTCCGAATTCCTGAAATGCTTTCAAAATATTGCCTCTTGAAGTAAAATTTCAATTCAAAGGAAAGAACAGTACTCAGTAAGTGGCAAATATAGCAAGTAAGGTGAATGATAAAGAAAAGTTACACTTTTCTTTGTAGTAAGCGGCTTAACGACAGTTACATTGTTCGCTGTTCTATTTTAAAATTCATAATGGCTAATATTCGCTGCTCTAAATAAAGCAAGGGGGTCCTCTTAAACTTGCTTTTTATTAAGGAACGTTGTTTTAATCGAAGCAATTTCAGATGTGTTGCCATTTACTAATACCAGTTATCGTTTAGCAGCTGCAACGGAAATTGTTAAAAAAATCCAGCCTAATAATTGTGAAGATGCACTATGTATAATAGTATTTAACAAATCACTTTTTAAACAATAACAAGAACAGTTTTTCTATTAGAATTCATATTAATGTTTCACACTTACTTCAGGAATGTTTTAATCGAAGCAATTTCAGATGTGTTGCCATTTACTAATACCAGTTATCGTTTAGCAGCTGCAACGGAAATTGTTAAAAAAATCCAGCCAAATAATTGTGAAGATGCACTATGTATAATAGTATTTAACAAATCACTTTTTAAACAATAACAAGAACAGTTTTTCTATTAGAATTCATATTAATGTTTCACACTTACTTCAGGAATATTTTGCACCTCCTCCAATTGGAAATAAGCGGACAGCGAAAATACTTTGCTATTGGTTGTGTAAGCTAAGGCGCTTGCTGTTGTCATTAAGATGAACGTGACTGGTATGAAGACGAGATACCACACAAACGTTTCACTAAGCCCAGTCAGAATGAAGAGTGTAAACACTAAGGCAAAAAGTACAGACAGACCTGAGTCGATATATAAAGGGAGGACGTTCTCCATCAACTTCTGCAAAGCGTTCTCCGTCCAGTGGTTGACGAAGATGGCTGAAACTTTGCAGATGGCTGCCACCAGAGCAGTCTGGGAAATTAATGAAGTCCAACCAATGATAAAGGCCAAAACTTCACTGGATGCCTGGTAACAGCAACTGTATACCGAAGACAGATCTTGGGACTGGACTGACATGTACTCTGCCAAGCATAAACCTAGAAAACATAAATGACATTTTGAGATTTTGAAAAACTGATAGATTCAGATTATAAAAGTTTTATTATTTTTAATAGATGTGGAATTTTGAAATTTAAAATTTGCCTTTTTTCTGAATAATCAAGGTTTCTGCTTTAGGAAAAGCTTAGAAAATTAAAATTTATCGAGGAGTAAATTATGTAAATATTTGTTATTAATTTATTTTGTGCTTTTGTGTGTTATTAATTTATTTGTATTGATTACTTGTTTTGTGTTTTGCTTTGCTCTAATTTTATGCATATTCCTTTGTATTTTAATTTAGTGTTAATTTGTCTATAATTATCGATTTTGGTGTACAAAATTTGCTTTTATGCTGTAATGTGCGAAATTTCACGTAGAAAAAGTTTATAAATTGCCTGATAACAGCCACACAGGCTCTGACGTAAGTAACACATAGTGATTATCTAGATTATCACTGGTTATTCACTTGGAAATGGTATACGAATAGCCAGATTATTTCTAAATATCAAATTGCTGACTATCAAGAACACATACATGTTAACATACTTGACTCGTAATCTTGGCAAAACAGAATAGATATTTTATTGCCTTTTTAACATTATACATTGCTCTTTAAGAACTAAGATAAACCTCATTTTGTAGAGACATTAGGAAGCAGGAAGAAGTGAAAAATGAGCAACTCCTTTGCCGAGAACCAACCACCCACGGACCTCTGGAATACGCGCCCAGCGTGCAGACTACCACACCACTAAGGCATGCCAAGAAGGCGGGTGAAATACTTTATATACTTCCACTTTTAAAGGGCGACTGGAGTTTTTAGGACACCCAATCGCCAAATTATGGGTGTGGAGCATCATCATCCACCACCCTTTTAGTTCGGGCGCCACTGTAGAGACATTAGGTTATTTTGAAGCAAGAGAAATGCAAAATGAGCAACGCATTCCCCGGGAATCGAACCACGGACCTCTGGGATATGCGCCCAGCGTGCAGACCACCACACCACCTCATAGTTGCTTTCAAAGACCACCACACCACTTCATAGTTGCTTTCCCTCTCTCTCTTATACATGCACACACAAAGAGAGAAAAAGATAAGCTGTAAAACTATTACAAACTTTAAAAATAAAATTATTAAATTCTAAAGTATAATTTAATTTTATAACAGTTTTTTTAATTTAGTTCAACATTCCTATCTCTTCTAGCTTCCGCTTACAATTCCTTACTAGAAAGAGTTTTTAGAATCGCGTTAAATGCAAATGAGAAGTAGAAAGAACCAGAGTCAAAATTCCGCTGACCTCGGGAGAGCGAGAAAGGATTCCTGAATAGCGCGCGTTTGCCTTTCCGCTAATCTCTCCAACTGTTATTACGATCAGCCGTATTACGTGCCTTCTGAAAGGTTCTCTGGCTAAGTTAATATCACGGGCCAACTAGTTTAGAATTGTGTTAGCTTCAGCTAAATCTCTTTAGTTAGTTCTTACCGTATTTATGCGAATCTAATGCGCATCCCCATTTTAAAACTTTAAATAATAAAAAAAAAAAAAAATGTTTGTCGGCGAATGTAATGCGCATCAATGGTATGAGGAATTTATTGAATCTTATTTTATACAAATATGGATTTGTATATAAACTATCAATCAATGGTATGATAATTTTATTTAAATTTAGATACCATATTTTATACAACAATGGATTTATACATAAAGTAGCACAACATAGAATTAACCTATTAGTGGGCTATTGTTATGTGAAACAATCATTGTTCATTACCACTACCGTATATACGGTATCTATCGTAAAATATGAACATGAAATAAATCGTAACATTTCTATAGCTAACAGTTTCTACAAACCGTGATTAATAGTAATCGTCTTTATTCACTAATGTTTTCATCACTGGAATCCTCGCAGCTCTCTTCGTCAGAAGCAGATTCATTTCTTCTTTCCTCATCGTCACCATCGTCATCCTCGGCGTTCCAGAGTACGTCATCTTCACTGCCATTCAATGAATTTGAAATGCAGCATTTCTTGAAAGATTTCGCAATCATTGTATCTTCGATGCTTTTCCAGGCAGCAGAAACCCAGTGTGCAACAATGTGCAGTGCAGTACGCTTAATTTTTCCTATCGAGGTCAATTTACGGTTTGGCTCACAAAACCATTTTTCGTACTCCGCCTGAACGTACCTCTTAAAAGGTTTATTTATACTAACGTCCAGTGGTTGTAACACAGACGTCATCTCTCCAGGAATGATTACAAGATCACTGCCTAGGCTGCGCGTCTTCTTTTTTACGTCGTCGGTGAGATAACCACGAAATGCGTCCAGACAAAGCATTGATGGTGGATTGAAGAGCCCACTGGGACGGCGTTCCCATACATTTCGGAGCCAATCAAGCATTAATGATTTCGTCATCCACCCCTTCTCTTGGTTACGAATCAGGACATCATCTGGGAACAGCTTTTCATTCTTAGGGGTTTTAAGCTTTGTTTTTTGTTTGAAGATTAAGAAAGGGGGAAGTATGCACCCATCTGCTGTTATTGCCAGCATCACTGTTACGCGTTGTTTTTACACATCCCGAAGTTTTAATCATAACTTCCTTAGTCCCCTTCCTCCGTAATGGTGTAGTTACGAGGCATATCAAACCAAATTGGCGTCTCGCGTCAGCGTTGCCAATTTTGCCCCATTTGAAAAATTCTTTTTCTTTCGAAGTGTGATGACATACCGCCGAAATGTTAATAGTTTTTCCTCAAAATCTGCAGGAAGCTTTTGGCATATTGTTGTACGGCGTCTTAGAGATAAGCCCATCCGCTTCATAAACCGATCCACCCATCCACGGCTAGCCTTAAACTCATGTTTCGGTATTCCAAGAACTTCAGCCTCCTCTTTTGCTTTATTTCTTATGGTGTCACTAGTCACAGGTTGTTCATTTTTCTTCCTTTCACGTACAAATTCCAAAACTTTTTCTTCAATTTTAGGGTGTCTTCTTTTGCGAGAGCCAGTGAATTTCTTTCTACTAGCTTTAGTTGCAAACAGTGCCAATTTCTGTTGCCGCCACAAGCGAACATTGCTCTCAGCTACGTTGAACTCTCCCCTGCCTTTCTATTGCCATTTTTTTTCAGCATAAAGATTTACTTTACGTTTGAAAGTAGCGTCATATGACATTCTCCTCTGTTTGCCCTCCCTTTCGTGACTACGTACTCTGCAATTTGTATCCTCTATGCAATAATGTGTTAACGATAAATGTAACGGTAAATCTAGTCGACAAATACAGTAATCCATTGTTACGATTTAAATTTGGTTGACGTCATCGGCGAACTTTGCACTCGAATCTAATGCGCCTCGAATCTAATGCGCATCCCAGTTTTGAATATTACATTTGGCCAAAAACGATGCGCATTACATTCGTGTAAATACGGTATTTCTTACATTTTGAGTTTAAGCCCAAGTGGAGACTTTTCTGTACGCCCTTTGATAGGGATCAATTGTAAATCTTTATTTTGAGCAAATAAAGGGTAATTAACCCTTCCCGAGTTTACGTTTCTGTTCTCGGAATTAAGCGATTTTGCGCTTAGTAGTTCACTAGGTTCCTCGACATTACATTTAGCAAGAAAAGAGAAGAAACACTACATTGGCGCCCAAGTATTTAGACGAACTATGCCGTTAGAAAGTGGAAAATTAACGCTGGCCTTCCTACCTAACAAATCCCTGAGCTACCAGCAAACCCTGTGGAGGGATTTGGTTTCATCGTAAAAACCATGCGAGCAGCTTTGCGTTTGATCACAAAGATTCAAGTAATGACAGTCCTCAAGCAGCCTGAGCTGCACCTTACATCACATCCCGTAAACCAGCTGCAGAAAGTTACTATTGCTACGGCTAACTTAAAAAGGCTAGGCCTTAGTTGATTTAAGGGCATTGGAAAATTCGTGTTGGGGGATCCTGGTTCCGAAACATACACCTGGGAAAATTTTAAAACCGCGCTATTAAAAGCGTTTCCCGTAGTCAAAGACCGAGAGAAACTGGAAGCAGAGCTCTTCAGAAAATATCAGACAAATACCAAAGATTTTACTGACTTTATTTTGAAAAAGATGCCAATATTCAATCTATTGTATAGAAAAAGCCCGGATAATGAACTAATCGAAGTAATTTTGCCGTGTCTACTTCCGTCGATTCAAGATTTCCTAGAAATAAGGAACCCATAGACATTGAAAAATCTATTTCAGCTTGCCGTGAAGTTCCAGAGCAGACGAACAGCTGAAAACGAGCGTTCGACAAATTTCCGCCAGTATTCGAGGTTTTCGCCTCTCACAGAAGCCTAAAAATAAGCAGTATCCTTATCGGCAATCGGGGAAGATTGAAAAGGAAATAACAAGAAGACGGTTCAGTCGAAAGCATTCGGAGATCACAATAAGAAGCAGAAGAAGCAAAGGGCGGAAAAAAGTATTTAAACTGATCAAGGTGGCCTAGAAAAGGGCCCTGGGAAAAATGCCTGGGAAATTAAATACGGTTAGTTGTACAAAATTTAGCATTGCTTGAAATTCACATTATATTGAACAACGTCCCTACTACCGCCTTACTCGACACTTTGGAACAATGCAGTTTTTGTTCGCCAGAGTTTTTGAAAAGAATTTTCGCCGTTACAGACTATTTAAAATCACGGGACAGAGGGCAATCGCCGACCAAGGAAGACAGTATTTCTGCCCTGGAAAAGTAGGGCTGCACGTTTAAATATAATTTTCTTGTAGATAAGGATCTACTAACTTCACCTTATGCACCAAACTCAAACTCACGCTCTCCATCGATAAATCCGCAGCATTAATTATTCCAAAGCCAGGCACCAACCCAACACGGAAACCCTGTATCAAGCTACAGCAAACCAATATCAAGATCGTTTCTGAGCTCAAATACCTCGGGATTATCTGGGATCGAGGCCTGACGTGGATCCCCCATCTTCAGTACATACGCAGCAAAACAAACGCAATAGCCAGAAAAGCCAAACTTTTCCAAGGAATCAACTGGGGTCAGAATC